AAATAATACGCTGTGATACAGGGGCCGAATCTTCCAGGACAGTCCTACAGATGTAAAGCAATTTATGCTGCATTCAACACCCAGACAGCTTTCATCCATAAATTTGTGGCCGTTTCAGTAGTTGAAAATAAAAAAGCAAAAGGTTGTTGTAGACATTTTTAGGATTCTTCTGCATGCAGCAAATTACCAACATCTACTTAAAGCCAACTAAAAATTGATGTAGTAAACAGCATAAAAGCATCACCTGTGCAGTGCTGTAAACACCCTCTCTGTGAAGCGTTTCTGTGCGCTCCTATGTCGGCTTGGCTGGTGGCTGCAGTTACCCACAGCGGCAGTCGTGTCACTTGTGAGTCTGGTTTACTCATCCTCCTTCTTGTTTCTTTACTGAGTAAATATCAGGTTTTATGGCCGAATATATCCGAAATTTGACTAGAAAATCATTGCAGTAATATGAAGAATGGGAAATAGCATTTCAATTCTACCTGCTTTTTGGACAGTTTTCAGCTGTCCTTTAATTGCTTTCTATTAATGTCTTTCTGTTACTTTTTTCATTTAATCTTATTATTATATTTTTTTAACTTGACAGTTTTTACCTTAGGTACTNTAACACAACGAGGTGCGGATTATATATATATATATATATATATATATATATATATATATATATATATATATATATATATATATATAAATTTTCATATACATAAATACATACATTTACATATTCTTGGGTGGACCTGTATGCTCTCATTTGCATATTTGCTTTACTCCTGATGTTCCCTGAATTTCCCCACAGTTGGACAATAAAGGGAAAATTTTATTCTATTCTATTCTAATTGAATTCTATTTCATATATATATACATTTTGGCATGTACTTAATATATCATCTAAAGAATACACAGCTAAAACCATTAATAAAAGGTCTTTAAGCTGTGAAATGTAAATTACGTCAGTCCTCCTCTATAGTAGAACAGTGAATGGATAAGAACATTTTCTAAATATTATTCACTTCTATATTATAAACCTGCACAAATTACAAGAATATTCTTCAAATAAAATACATTTCAAATAAGAAATAGAACATAGACTGCTGCACCCTAAATGCATCACGGAGCGTCATCACAGATCCTTCCTTCCAGCAGCTGTAAGACTCTGTATAACGATCACTATTCCCAACAATCTCAAGAAGTTATTACATTAATCCTGATTTTGCAAAGTTTCTATCTTAGTTAGTTAAATAACATGCTGCTGTAATTTTTGCACATCCATTGCTGTAAAAATGTCCATACTGTAGCCGTATATTGGCTATTTATTCTCCAGGTGCAGAGTTTTTATATTGTTAAAACACTTTACAGTATAGTATTTCATTGTTTATCTCTTAATTCTTCACTATGATGTTATTCTTATACAAATATTCACCTTAGAAAAATGTATGACCATTTTCTAGGGATTTTCTATTATATTCTGTTCTATTCCATTCTATTCTAAAACCCCATCAATCATCACAGCCATATTAGATTATGGTTTTGTTTTAAAACCAGTGGTTATACAATCAAGCATAAATCTAATTTTGGCCATTATCAAGAAAACATGTTGAATATGAGTTCTTATATGAAACAATTCAGATCTAATATTTCTGTTAGCATATTGAGCAGTGACAAATTTGTTTTTTATACAAACACCCTCCCAAATTCCTTAAGTGACTGCAAAAAAAAAGTTTAAAGATCAGTTTTTCCTGCATCAACAGTTGCTTGTCCTATTGATCATTATTTCCAGAACTCCCTGCAGGCCCAGATGTTCCTATGTGTGTTTCCAGACAGCTAGAGAGAGATTTGCATGTTTGTGTGTAGATGGGTTTACATCTGCACATGTGAAGTTCAAAGTCGTCATTGGAGGTCCATAGTTAATCAGCAATCGAGCAAAAGTCTCAGGGATCAGCCCATTGATTTCTCTCCCAGGGCAATCAATTCTATCAAAAGCATTACTTAAACTGAACTTAGATCAGAAAGTGGATGACAAACGGCACACAAAGTGAAAGAATCAAGATTGCCATGCACTGGCAATAGGGTATTTAAAATAAAACAATGAATGCAGATGTTTTACCAAGGATGGGAGGTTCACTTAATTAGTGATTCATAAACCGTCTACCTCAGACATTATAAATCAAATAATGTGTCTAAGCATTCCATTACACACAATAGATCAAATATAAATTTTCTCCTAAGAAAACAAGAACAACAAACGTTTTATTACTGATTTGAGGTAAAGTCTAAACAAGACAGAGTGGGCGCCAGTAAAATCTGTAACTGCTGCCAAGATATGCAGCATATAGAGCATAAAAAACACATTTACAGTACCACTATTCAACAATACTTATGGACACCAGTGCAGTTTCTTTATAGTTTACATCCATTTTAGGATGTAAACCTGTTTAATCTGATGTTCAAACTGTACAGATCAGTATCACTTTATTATTTTTGTTCCCTGAAGGAAATCTTCTTTGTACCCAGCTGAGAACGAACAACACAAAGGCACAAACACAGTCAGCAGGAATATTGATATTAAAAGAAACATCAGTAGAAATATCAATAAAAAAAAAAAAGAAACGATTAGACCAAAATGACAAAACAATCACACCCAATAACATTTTTGATTTATATGCATAATGGTCTGAATAAAATGGCACCTATTTCAATCTGTTGCTCTATGATTTAGGTTGTTTGAAGTTCTTTGTAAGAACCTCAACTTCGTCATGAAGACGGTGATAATCTGACAATCTAATTTGAACACCTTTCTGTTACATTGAGTAATGTAATGCAAGTAATTGAGCAGCATATGATTTGTTTCTCTTAAGTAAGGTTTAAATGTGGTGACCTGGTCTCTAAAATCTTTCCACCTTATGCCAGTTGAGAGAAGAATACCAACCTCATCCTTGGATGGAAATAGGATGGATATCAAGAGGGGCCCTTTATCAGGTATGTCTGTTCTGACATTAAAGCACCATCTAACTTGAGCAAACTTAAACATCACTAAAAGTGATGTACTGTAGTAATATGACACCTAGGGATGGGTATTGGCAAAAAAGTAATGATTTGATTCGAATCACGATTCACATGCCACGATGCGATTCTATCACGATGCATCATGATACTTGAAATATTGCGATGCATTGCGATATTTTCACTAAGTGTTTTCCATAGCTTTCAATATAAATTTTAATAGATTTCATTACAATTTTCATCCTGAGAAAAACTGAGCAACTTATGTATCCGAAATTTAAATGATTAGATTGATTAAAATGTTTTAACCAATGAATGCACGTAGAATGCAGTGCTGAATCTGTGATGATCAAACTGTCTGGAAAAAGTTAGAGAAGTTGACCTTGATTAGTTATAATGAGACCTAACCACAAGTCTACTAGTCTGATAAATGAATTAGATTTTAACCATGCAATGAATACTAACTACAAGTGTACACTACAGTTTCACCCACACTTATGCTAGTGTGCACACTGAGCTTTTATGAAAGACGTGCTCGTGTGCGAACCCACACATGTTCTTAGCCTATGCCAATCAGATTTATCATCAATGATCCTCAAAGCAACCCTTTGATCACCTCTTTGGGAATAAGTTATGGATAATGGAACTATGAGATGTAGCTTTAAAGACTAAAGAGGAGAGACAGATTTCTGACTCCTATCAGGACATATCTTTGTAGGGAAAGGAAAATGTTAAAACAGAGTGTAATAAAAATATACACAAAAATATACAAATGTGTTTAAGGTACAACTACAATTCTAAGTTTGGACGTGTACTAAGGAGTACAACAGTGTCCCACCAGACTTCTTTTTCTGAGGAGTGAGACCATGGTCTATGATGTCTTGCAAGAATAGTCAAAGATACTAAATGCTGTTCATGTTTTTCCCAAAAATATTAAACACCATTTCACTGAAACTTTACACTTTTTTTTAAAGGAAAATGTTAATTAACTGACACTTTGCAATAATCTGGAACTTCTTGAGTTGTAATATCCTTTAAAGGAGCATGGTGCACCAGAGTTGCTCTTTAAAGTTTGCCCCACCAGTAAGAAGTTGGAAAAAAAAAAGGTGTCAAAATGGGAAAGGAGAAAAAGCATCCCACACGGCTGCTGCAGGTGTGACTGCCAACACAGAAATGTTATTAATATTGAAGTTATTTTGCTAACGCATAAATTGCAGTACAGACTCAACAAAGTAGGTGTTTAAGAACACACAGTGCATCACAGCCACTTCCACTCTCAGAGAACCCGACCTGAACCCCTCTGTCATTAACTGACCAATTGAGCCTACAGAGACAACTCTGGTATAATTGCCTATACATAGGCAATTATTAGGGCATGTATGGGCAAAAAGCAAAAAAAACAACAACTTTGAAACTTGTAAAATGCTCCTTTGCCCAGTAAAAGTAGTTTAGCAAACCTACCTAAAAGCTGACATTTAAAAGCTTTTATTCACAGCTCAGAAATGTCTTCTTTTCGATTTCCATGTTCAGTGTGCTAACATGATGCAACAGAAGCAGAAATCTATAAAATTTTCTGATATCTTTTGTCATAAAAAGACCTGTATGACTGTCAAGTTAAAAGCAATTTGATGATGCAGTGTACAAGAAATAAAAGGTTATAGAATGCTGCAAACGCAAGAAATGGACATCCTTCAATATTATGAAAGTGTTAACCAAAGTTAAACAATAACATTTGCAACTAACACCATGAGAGACTAAAATTAAGGATGATAAGTAGATGTTTTATGTGTTTAAGAAACAAAAAACGTGGATTTCTGTTTAACACATGGATACACATATACTCACAAAACATACGTTAACAGATGTGAGAGTGGATGCTAAATGACCCCGACTGATTTCTTCCATCTGTTTTTAGATTTGTGTTTACTTTTATAGCACCGCTTATCAACATATGTAGTTATGTTCTATTTAACATGCAATTGGTCGGCTTTGCAACTTACTGCAGATTTCATCGGCCTCATCTGATCCGTCTGCACACTCTGATTCTCCATCGCACCGCCACCTTGCAGGCAGGCACTGTCCATTCTTACAGGCAAAGTCTGTGGTTGCACATGTCTTCTTTGCTGTGGAAAGAGAAGAAATATTTACTGTTATAAACCAACACAATGCATAACGCTATGGGTCTTATTTGGGCATTCTTAAAAGTAAACAGCAGTTAATGTGTAACTGGTCATTGTAAATGCACATGTTAAACAAGATATTAAACAAGATAAACAGGACAAAAACTAAACAAGATTTCTATACTGCACATGTGGCAAAAGCAGGTTACTTCAAGTTTAACCAAACTCAAATATAGTTTATGAGCTTCCTTTATAAAAAACTGTTAGCAAATATTGTTTTGGGGTAAAATTTTCACATGGGGGGAGGCTTTTACAAACTATTCTTTGACAAAGTCTTGTGTTTCCAGCTGACTCTGTGTGTCGGAAATATTTCTTTGGTTAAAAACTCATGCTAAGATTTCCAACTATGCCTGTAGTTTGGGCCTTTCTTTGTTTCAACTGGAAAAGACCCAGATGTCCAAAATGCATTTTGTAGGCAAACTGCAACTTCTGCATGTCTCTCCTTGCAGTTTAAATCCAACCTGCATAATAACCCATTATATTGTTTTCCTTTTAGCATCTTTGAATTTTAAATCAGAAAATACATTTTTTTTTGTGTGGAATAGTTGGATATGTTCTAGAGTAGCTTTCATGTTAATCAATAAATCTGTGCGACCTTTTCAACTTTAGTAAAGTTGTGCTAGATTGATATAAAAAAAGGATTAACAAGAATACTCTACTGTTTGTGTTATCGTTCATTACTTTTTATTTCCATTTATTTTCTCTTTTGTTTTCCTTTGAGTAGTTTATGTGAATTTCTAATTCAAATTTTGTAAGAATTATAGGAAATATAAGCTTAGGCATGAGCCTACACATTTGTCACTGGTTGTATTTGTGATATTACTGGCCAACACAACATATCCAAAAAAAAAAAATATATGAATATAAAAAAAAATTGTAGTAGACTACTTGTTTACAAGTTGACTCATAGCAGTCATTATAAGCATTTTTTTTTTTTTTTACATTTATGTTCATAATACTATTTTAAATATATGATTAAATCTTTGAAGTATGCTACAAAGCTGCATCGTTATCATATTTATAATATAAAGAATTAATAGCTTTGGGCCTAATATTGAACCTTGAGGAACCCCACATATAATCTGAGTAGGTCGGACCTTAACTAGTTTACTTGTTCATATTGGTGTCTGTTTTTCAACTTGTTTTTATTTGATTCTGCTTTTTCTCTGATCCCATTCCTCACCACTTTCACAATGGTGCACATGTTTTTTTGTTTGTGTTTTTTTTAACACCTTGATGGTTTGCTTGGATATTTCCTCTAAACTATAGGCACTCTAAATCCTGGAATCCCTTCACCTGTTTACAGTACATTCCAGTGCTGACTGATAATGAATGACATAATGATTTGGTGCAGCCCTGCCAGTATATTCTATTGTTGGGACAGAGGGGACCCTTATTAGCTTGAAGTCCATGTGTATAGTATGATGTCCAATGGTGTTGGTGTGACTAACAACACAACTGGGAGCAATAATAATGAAGTACGAGCAAGGAAAACTGACACCATCGCAGCAGTGGGGCAGATGCTTTCTATATGTATATGAAGTTTTACTTACAATGTAGGGCAAGAAATAAATTACATGTGCACACGCTTACCAGAGCACACTATTGATTTTTTGAAAGAGAAAAAAAGAAGGGGTGCTGGGGGTTGACGACACTAAAGAGATAGAACAGAAGAAGCTATAGGCCTAGAATAAATCAGCAGCATTTCCCAGCGGATTTACAGAGTAGTCTGAGCTTCAGCCAAAAGTAAATAGAAAGAGCAGGACAGAGAAAACAGGGGTACAGAAGCAAAGGATGTGAAGGAAATGTGCTGTCATTGCAGGGTCTCATGTAATGGCATCAGTCATCACAAAGACGCATATAAATCCCTTTCAGTCTCACCGGCATGTTAGCATAAATCCCATCTCTTCCGACCTGCTTTTTTTTTTCTCCATCTTCCACTGAATCTCTGCTTACACCCCGATAATGGAGATTTGCGGAGCATTCGTGGAAGTAAAAAAAAAACCATTAGGACGGTAAATCACATTAAACCTCATATGAGATATCAATAAATAAGGATTTCCCCTCAAATTAAGATGATATCAGCATTTGTGGGTCACTTTAATCTTTGAAAACAAGTTAAGAACATCAGAGTCGTGCAAAAGTGCAAAGTGAAAAACAGAAGTACAACATAAGGTTTAGACACACAAAAGACTCATTAAAATATAGAAGCTTTTAAATATAATCCTCTCAGTTTTCAAAAACCCTCTCTTTAACTTCCATTTCCTCTTCCAATGACAAAAGGATGAAAATAAAATCCTGCTCAATTTCCTCCCTAATTTGAAAACGAATGGCACTGAAAAGTTGTCTGCCAAGTATAATAGTAATTAACCTTTGTTGAAGATATCATTATGCAAAATGGTATGAGATCACCCATGCTTTCCTCAATTTCTGGATCTAAAGAAATGTTACTTGATAATTAAAATAAACAACATATATAGAAAATAACAAAAATAATGATGATGTGGTCGGTTATTTTTTCCATGACTATAAAAAGCACAAATAGATATATATTCAAAATATGGATTAAAAAGAACCATATATCTATCTGATACATATAACAAGGTTTGTTTATGGGAACAACGAGCACAGCCAAATTTTACATTTGGCAAAAAAAGATGTCAATAAATCTAGAAAATTACCAAATACATGCAACTTTCTAAAAATGTTTCACATAACGTAAAACATACATCATGTCTATGTCATTCTGCTTTGTTGAGCTTCAACTTTTCAAAAATAACTATTAGCTAAAATCCAGGGTTCGGTATGTTTGGGTACACTTTCTTTCCCTCTGTGTTTTAGTAAAAGATTTGCCATTCACCAAATGATAAGGTTGTGTAAAACGCTATTTCAGCTTAAAAGGTTGCTCGAGTTAGGCAATCTAGAATAATCATGGGTAAAAATGTAATATAGTAATTACTGCAAATAATTAAATGTAACTTTGCTATCATATATTTTTGAAACGATGTTCAGTAAATCTAATAGTTACACGACTGTTGTTTAAAATGTCTAAAAAGGTCATTTAACTTTTTAAATGCTGCAGAAAATCCTGTTTTCACAACAAACATCTACAGATCAATATTGCACTGTTTTATTTAGCAACAAAAAATAATTAATTTTATTTTTTAACCAAGAGTAAAGACAAACAAATTTCTCCTCATTAGATGAGTTAGGAGATTCATATGAGAGACTCACTTGTGGAAATTATGTGCATAACAAGATAATTAATCCTAAAATTAAAGAATAACACTAGAGTGGTATAGCTAGTCTGTGCATATCTGTACAAATCTTTCTTTCTATGCTTCTCAAAAGTTGTGGATGTACCAGCAAACAGCTGCCTATATTTGAATTCTGATAGGCGGAGAACCATCATATCCAGTTGCCATCCATATGGAACAGTCTGTATCTAGCTTATTAGATGTGAGAGTGACTGCGGAAAAATAGAGGATGTATAAGCACTTTAGGCACTTATACGTGTGGACGCACATATAAAAACACCCAACCTACCTTCCACCCTTTAAGCTAAAGCAGAGACACAACGTTTTATTTTAGTCCCCTGTCTCATGATGGGAAATGTGATGAATATTTATGTGAGAAACAGACTCACGGTTGTAGCTCCTGGAAGATTTTATCGACATTATTGAGCCATCAATAACTTTGCTCACATTTAAATTGCACCATCAAATGCTCAATCTGCCTCATCATCCCACTTCACTTGCAATTCACTCAAGTATTTCTCATACTTATGTTTTGCACACAATTGTCCCGTTCACTTCATGACTATTGCATAACGCCTTTTTTAACTTATGATCATTCACTTTGTTTCCTGATAGTATGAATGCTGGTTCACAGGGACTGAATGGTTTATTTAAAAGAAGGAAAGGCAGCTTTAGGTACAAATTCAGAAAGTATATATTTTTTTCTTTACCTCTAAGCACTGTCTTTGATCAAAACACGGCATAAGGCTGAGCATAAGCTGTTTTTTCTAAAAAGAAAAAAAAAGAAGAAGAAAAAACAAATCAATCTACCTAGATAATAAAGTTCTAAAAACAGTAATTACCTATACATGATTTTTCCACTACAAGCGATCATTAAGACATAACTTTGGAAAAGATTTTGCCATCATGAGGCGTCAATGTGTGAAACTAGGAACTTGACATACAAAATGTCCCAAAAAACTGATGCTATTTACTTTGGAGGCTGCAGCATAAAAAAAAAAAAAAAAACATGGCTTTTAAAGGCATAGTGTAGAATTCACAGTGAGGTGTAAAAACATTAGTATCCCACAAACTAATCCATATGTTATCATACTATAACCACAAAATTATCCTTTTTTATGTCTTTTGGAAAGTAGATTATAGTGATGTGAAAGTAAATAAAGGACCACCTTTTTCTTTTCTAGAAGCTGGTAGAAGCATAATATCATAAAACCCATGCAGCTCTACGTAGAGTTGAAAGATCTACAGTTACTTCAGACAGGTGAATATTAAAAATTATCCCTTTTCAGATTTTCATTCCTAAACAAAATGAAAACCATGTGTCATTTCCCATCCTGTCTCAAGTGTGCTCTTCATTGTGTTGGTTTTTAAACAAATAATTTTTTTTTTTTTTTAATCCAATAAAGCTGTAATGCACAGAAATGCAAAAAAAACTTTAAGGATAGACATACTGCAAAAGCAACCGTGTAATCTAGGTATTAAAACTGTTTTCCCTTTACACCGTTTCTGTAATATTTGCTGAATGATCCATAATACAAGCAAGCCCAGCACACTGATTCCAGTCAAAGTTAATAACCATTATTGGAAATGAAGAAACATATACTCTACAGTAGGGATGTCTCAATCCAATATAGACATTGGAAATCAGTCTGATATCAAATACAAACATCAGAATATATTAGTAGG